GCTTCGGCTGGATGGACCACCCTCATTAAAGATTGTTGAAATAAAATAAATAAAATAAAGACCCTCCGGCTGTTAACTGAGCTCTAAGAACAGATTGGTATACTCTTTATGATGACTTCTCTTTCAAGGATGATTTTATTTGTTGATAAAAGGATCAATATTATTATTCAGATAAAATATTCATTTATCAACTAAATATTAATTCTTATCATAGTATCTAAAAATATGAATCGTTATTTGTTATTGAATCATATTTTTTAAACCATAGGTGGACCAGGATTTGTGATTCTTCCTCTCCATTCCCAAATCCCACGGGAAGAGCAGCACCGTGTCTTTGAACCAGTACCAAATGGTGTTACTAAGGTATCAAATTCATAATTGAATTAAATTATTAAATTAATTAAATTTTTATTTACATTTATAGGTGCTAGACAGTTATAGGTGTTAGACAGTTATGTTAACATACTTTGTTGTATTGATCATTCAATTTAGTTTTACTTAATATTTTTACAACTACAAGATAATGTGAAACTGCTGGGATTAGCAGTCATAGAAACTTCCGAAGGTTTTTAAGTATTTTTATATAAAACACTATTAAATCCAAAATTAATTTGTTAACCTAAAATCAAAATTAATACAGTTAAACTTGCCTAAGTCGACTTTGCTTAACTCGAATAATTTATAATTTGATCTAATTTTACATGCCAAAATTTTGTGTTTTCCATTAATTAACTATCTGCAAGTCAAATTTCATCTAAGTCAAACAATTTTTCATTGCCATTTTGAATTCGACTTATACAACTGTAATAAATAAAAAAAAAAGAAGCTTAGCAGTGAAACGTTACAATATAGAAATTTTTTTTATTTTGGGAAGTTTTATTTCCATTGAATTGCAGTGATCCATGAGTTATGACTATTCAAATTATGATTACATTATTTCAATTATTATTTTTTTTTGTTAGTATCCAGTCCATGATATTTATGGTATATCATGTAATATCTTTCAGATCGTGTTGTCAACCAATATAGCAGAGACCAGTGTCACTATTAATGATGTTGTCTATGTTATTGATGTGTGCAAGTAAGTGCAATATATATATAGAATTTTTATTCAAAAGTTTAACATGAGTTATTCACCACGAATGAATAAGACACAAGTGAATACAATTATATGTTACTCACTCCACACAACGGTCGTCAGCTGACTCGATTCTATAAAGAACGCAACGTGACGACGGGTGCGCAACAAATAGTTTTTAATGACGATTTGTTCAGACTGCCACCGACAATTAGCAGATGGCGTTGCGTCGTCTATCGCTCACAGAGCGGAGTTGGATTCGTCATACGACACAGTGAGTCCCCGGCGTTAGAATTAGTGAGTCTTTTTTAATGATCCAAAGTCAGGTGTAAAATTGTGATGTTTCTCACTATTTCTTGACGTTTTACGTTTTATTAGCAAAGCTTAGTCTATATATAGCCTATATATAGTAGGCAAAACCTGTAAGAAATAGTGATTAACATCTCAATTTCACACTAGACTCTGGATCATTAAAAAAGAACCACTAATACTTATTTATTGGTGGACGCAATGAATTTATTAAATAATTATTTACAGACATTTCCTAATTTGATCAGTCACTTTCTAAGGGTTTATGCAAACGTATATAGGAACATTATTATTTAAATGTATCTGATAGTTGTTGAGGAAAATGGTTTCTCATATGTTTTTGTTAATAGTGCTTGCCTTTGAATTGTATTGGATGTGTTTAACAGTGTTCATTATCAAACATTTTTTTGCAACACTACTTTATTTTCAGAGCAAAGATGAAGTTGTTTACCTCACATAATAACATGACCAACTATGCTGTAGTGTGGGCCTCAAAGACTAACTTAGAGCAGAGGAAAGGTCGTGCAGGTCGTGTGAGACCTGGATTTGCTTTCCATTTGATTAGCAGAGCTAGATTTGATAAGTAAGCCTGATTATATGATACATCTTATCTTGTTTAATGTGTTTTATGAACCTTCGTTCCCTGGTATTTAAGCTGAAATTGTACCTCTAAATTAGCAACAGACCTGCAAGTCGTGCAGTAGGCCAGGCCCAAACGATGGGCCTAAAATAATTTTAGTCTGAATGGAAACGTAAATTCAAAGTCAACCTAAATCTCATGGATCAAAGAATCATTCAAAATGTATACAATGTAAAAATATCTTCCTTGCTAATTTCATTAAATTTTAGACAATTTGTATTTAATTTACACCATTTTCAACACCACTCAGTGGATAAGCATGGGACTTTGCTGTTTGTTATTGTAATCATACCCACTATTCAAGATGCTTGTAACGCCACAGCTCTTAACTAATTCAGTCTATATTCTTTTTTACCTTAGCAATGGTATTCAAAGGGCGGGTCTTAGCAGAATGGTTAATTTTATCGCTACTCTCCTTGTCTTTCTGCTTGACAACTGAAATGCAAGTTACATGGTTTTTGTTTTCTCTCTCTTATAGACTGGAAGAGCACACAACACCAGAGATCTTCAGAACTCCTCTGCATGAGTTGGCATTGACCATTAAACTACTCAGATTAGGTGTGATCAAGGAATTTCTTGCCAGTGCCATTGAACCACCACCTCTAGACTCTGTCATGGAAGCTGTTGCTGGTCTCAAAGGTAGTATGCGTATCCAGAAAAAGGTGGGGGAGGGGGGTGGTGGTTGCAACTGCATGCTTACTCCAATCTCTCCCTTCATATTTTAACAGATATGCATGCTCTGGATGAAACAGAGGAGCTAACGCCATTGGGACGAGTGCTTGCCAAAATGCCTATTGAGCCTCGCATGGGCAAAATGATCATAATGGGCTGTATAATGAGGTAAGCTTCTTCATTTGGCTCTAATATTCAGTAAAGTTGTATTTTTTGATATAAGTACAAAAGATGAAACATATCAGACAAACCAAACAATAAAGAAATGTTTAAATTTAACTGAAATATTTTTTTTTCAATTTAATATATACTGAAAAAAAAAATTGTTGTACCAGAGGGGTTCAAACTGGTCACCATTTGGTTGCTCTTGCAAGTTATTTATTTAGCCTAGTCAGTATACGCACTTATAATCTGATATAAGTACAAAAGATGAAACATATCAGACAAACCAAACAATAAAGAAATGTTTAAATTTAACTGAAATATTTTTTTTCAATTTAATATATACTGAAAAAAAAATTGTTGTACCAGAGGGGTTCAAACTGGTCACCATTTGGTTGCTCTTGCAAGCTATTTATTTTAGCCTAGTCAGTATACGCACTTGGATTTTCCTATTAAAACACTTTTTTTCTCTCTGTATAGTTTTCTATAAAATCTATTGATATATGTAGATTAATTAGGTATGGAGTAGTCTCTTCATAAGTAAAATATAAATATGATTTTTAAATATATTTTTTAGATTCAATTAATTATATTGTATGTGTAAAAATGAAATTTGTATCATTTTTGGTATTTCCAAATAAGGATACTTGTTGTTTATATTGTTAACAATATAAACCTAGGCATCGTAGGCATCAAAAAAGTGAGGTGACAGAGGTCACTTTAACTTTGTAAATATATAAACTAGTAGTAAAATGACTTGTAGAAAGCTAATATTTTGCATGTAGCTGCTGTCTGATGTAAAGTTGAACCACTGGTAATATCTTGTGTTTTTTATGAATAATATGAATATGAATAATGAAGATGTAGGCGATAAAAACAATCAAAAAAATATTTGCTGAACATGATTGCTTGAGGTTATTTGCAAAAATATGGATAATTAACACAGAATTATTATTATTAACTAACTTTCCTACTAATTTGCATGTAATACTTGTTTATGAGTATCACTCCACTATCTTTATTTTGACAGGCTTGGGGATGCCATGTGTCTAGTAGCAGCGGCAAGTTGCTTTACGGAGCCTTTTACAACAATTGCTGGTAGAGTGGCACCTTTCCACAAACGCTACTGCGGTATGCGGCATAGTGATCACATTGCAATGCTCGCAGCGTTCCAGGAATGGGAGAATGCTCTGTAAGTGTTAAATACCATTTTAATAATTATAACATTTTTTAAAGTCTTGCATCACCTTTTTGTCCATATCTCAAAAAGCATGTAATACAAAGAAATGAATAAATGAAAAATTTTGCATAACATTTTTGATAATAATTTCACATATCATGTCCTGTCAAAATAGCTATCAATGCATTAGTTGTTTATTATATGAATCAATTACTGCTAAATGATTAACTGCTTGTGATTTTGTTAGCATGCAAGGTGGAGAGGATGCTGCTATAGAGTATTGTGACAGGAAGAGTCTGCAGATGACATCACTGAGAATGACCTACGAAGCACGGGTATGTACGCCTCTTCTGATAATGCTATGATGGTGTAGGAGAGTAGTGATGATGATATTGCTGATTACCAGCAGCAACACTTGGCATGTGGACCCAATGACCAGGGAAAAGAACTGCGCTTTAAAACCGCAAGGAAGAGGCACATTTCTGTTATATTTATGTATAATAGACTGAATAAAATTCATTGAATTGAATTGATTATTATTACTAACTGCCCGGCAGTGGTGGGTTACTTATGTCTTGGTTCGTGTGCTGTCTCTGATCGGCTTTGCTGCGCTTGTGTAAGGCACCTGTGTATGGGTCACCTGCAGCTTTAGTGTCAGTTTTTCTTTAATCCAATTTGGCTCTTTTACTATTTAATAATATATTAAAAGAAAAATGTTTTTCTTGTCTAATTTAAATGTACGGTTTTATAATGAAATTTTTATTAAGAAATGCCTCAATTCAACCTTTTTACTGCCACAGAATTTGTAATTTTCCTTGTGTTGTTTTAAAGTAAAGATACCGATATATATATATATATAAATACCAGTAGCGGGTATTGATGATTATGTAACAATACATAATAATGTGTTATATCCACAAAATATAACATTTTCTTGCTCTCAGTATATGATGGTGATGTGAATATTCAGTATCTACAGGGAAAAATTCCACTGCTTAAATTTATTGTTAATGTTTTATAGAATCAATTGAAGGACATTCTGTTAATGGAAGGGTTCCCTGAAGGTGAGTTTTTAAGAAATTGAATTTCAAAATGTGTAATAATTTGGACCACTCAATGTTAACTTATATGCTAAAATTATTACTGTTACTTGCTATAACCAACTTGAAGTTGGCATCATGTATATCATGTGATTTAATTATCTAAACTCAAATAAATTATTAAAATCAAGAACATTATTAAAATATTTGGAAAAAATAGAATTAATTTGATTATTATTTTTATAAATACAAAATATACACTACTAAACAAGGAATATCTGTACAAGCAAATTGTTTTCATTGTGGTTACCGTAAATACCGAATACGTGCAGCTGCGCTTAAAAATTTTTGGAGGCTTAAGTGCAGGGTTTTTTCGAGAGCAGCACTTCTTAAATAAATATTGGCATGGTGCTTTACATGCCCGTTCCATGTTACCTACCTCACGTATTCAAGTAGTAGGGTAGGCCTATAAGGCCCTACATAATCGTAAATGAACGTTTATAAAGGTATATGCTTGCGTCTTCATTGTGTTATTTATTCATTTGAACACTGTATACGTTGTATTTAAAACCCAGTTTCTCTGTGTGTTTCATTACACACGGGATAATATGTACTCTAGAGTAAGCGCCATAGTATCCATTCGAGAGCGGTATTTAGCGAAAAAATCATGTTTGGGGAGGTGCTTATTCAAGAGCGCCGCTTATTCGAGAAAGGCACTTATTCAAGGATTAACAGTACTAAAGAAGATGTTAACATAACTGTCATAAACTTTTTTTAATTTAGAATGCATGATGTCCGAGAATTTCAACTACTCTGGTACAGACAACTGCCTAGATGTTGTGGTGTCACTGATTATCATGGCTCTCTACCCCAATGTATGTTATCACAAAGAGAAAAGAAGGCTACTGACAACTGAAAATAAGTCAGCACTCATCCATAAGTCCTCAGTCAATTTCAGCAAAATGGACCAATCTTTTCCCATTCCGTTCTTTATATTTGGAGAGAAGGTAAGCTCTGTTTTTAGGACAGCATGTTTAACACTATGCAGCTTTTTAGATATTATAACATTGAAACAAATGAATTTAACTGCAATATCAACATTTTTGTATGTGATATCACACCTATATACAGTATGGGAAAATCACAGGTATTTGTCTTGTACAACCTGTGACTGTGGAAAGACCTTTAGCGTTTGTAGTTATTGTTTTTTTCCTTTCGTGGGTTCATTTCACTTTTATTTGTCAAGTCAATACATTTTTCAATAAACACAGCTTGTATCACTCATAAACTGCAAAATTTTACATGGTATAAAAATGGAATTCTGATATAAAAAGCGAGTTTTTTTCACATACAAATTTAAGAGAACTTTTGATTTGGAACTAGCAAAAACTTATAATAATATTTTCTCATTTTTCTCTGTTATAAAAAGCGCAAAGAGTGATCTATGTTTCCATTTTGTTTACACATATCTTTTTTATTTCAGATAAGAACCAGGGCAGTGTCTGCCAAAACAATGACGATGGTGACACCTCTTCAGCTGTTGATGTTTGGGGCCCGTGAAGTGGAAAGTAACGGCACTATTGTCAAGTTAGATGATTGGTAAGATGATGGTTTCTGTTAAGTGATGTTACTAAGGCTAAAATTGTTCATTTAAAATACAATAATCATATAAGTTCACTTCGAACAATTCACATGTTTAAAAGTGTTAATGATGCACTGTAAATATTTTACTACAGTTAAGAACCCATACATTATTTCAAACTGAAAACTATTCCTCCATAGGCCTATATTATTACTAGTTTAACGTCAGCGTTATAGCGAATGCTGTTTGTGTGAACACTTTGGAATTTTAATTCGTGGATTAGCTTACGCCGGCGTAAGCTACGTCAGTCTTACGCCGTATGTGTGAACATACCCAAAATCCATTGCAGATCCATAAAGAAGCCAGTGGTTTTGTTCTGAATGATGCGCATGTCATCATTTGACTTCTTACATATCAACAAACCTATGATCACTTAAACATAGCTATTAAAACTTGAACAGAGATTACAGCAATGCATGTCAATCATTTCAAAGGGAACAATTTAGAGTGGTGTTTCCTGTTATCATTCAAATTCTGCCAGGTGTCTTTGACATAACAGAGAGCATGATAACTAATCTCTGGCAATACTTTCTACCAAGAATGTATCAAATGTTTTTTCTTCATTTAGGGTTCAGCTTCAAATACCCTTCAGTCAGGCAGCCAAGGTAGTTGCTCTCCATCCAGCAATAGAATCGCTACTATTCCGCATCTCTGGTAATCCTGAGGAAATATTAACGCCAACCCCTGTAGATGAATTGCTCATCAATGTGATGCGAGCAATATCGGGGTACAATGCTGGAATGTTCAGGAGCGGTGAGAAGAGTACAGATCAGCCGTGAGTGAAATTTTTTTTAAAAGATTATAATAAATAAGTGACATTTTTAAATATTGGACATTAATGGAAAACTGGTTTCCCAACAACAAAGTTAGGTTTTTTATTCATTTTTGTGCATTTCACAATTGTGTCTTTGAGCAGGGCACTTTATCTGCAATGTGTCTCTCCACCTACATTGGCGGATTCAGGAATTTTAAATAGAGGTGGGCCAGGGAGGGATTTTCACAGATAGAGGGTCCACACTTCTTCGATTGCCGGAAAAGGCACTCTCAGACGTAAATTTGATTACAATTATATTTTTTCCCATTTTTTTATATAATTTTGAAAAATTTAGGGGGTGAGTGGATCGGCTTGGGCACCGCCTCCCCCACCTTCAATCTGCTGCTGACCTAGGAGTATTAATGTGAACCTGGAGGGTTGCCATCTCTTGTGCTGATTACAGTGCATATCTGCAAAGAAAAAGTGCCATATACATAAATAAATTTAATAATGCAATGTGCATTTATTATAATATGCACAGTTAACAGCCAGTGGATGCATTTAAAATAATTTATTTTAATGATGGCAAAGCCAATTATTGTGTCTGCATGTTACCATGATATTTATTTTATTTACTATTTGTAACTTACAGTCGACGTGATTCTGGAGGCCCTCCTCAACAACGGCCACGCTTCTCATCACCACCAGGTTATGAGTCAAGAGGCAGAGGCTTCGGTGGAAGAGGCAACTTCCGAGGTGGCAGAGGTGCAAGAGGTGGTGGAGACTTTGGCATTGGGGGCGGAAACTTCAACAGAGAAGGCAATGGGGGAGGTTTTGGAGGTAGAGGTGGTTTTCGTGGGGCTGGTGGATATAGAGGAGGAGGAAGAGGCGGAGGTGGAGGTGGCTTTAGAGGCGGACCAGGTGGTGGGGGTAATTTCCAAGGCTTTCCAGGTTTCCGAGGTGGAAGAAGAGGTGGATTCAGAGGAGGCTATTGAACCACATCGTACATCCTCACTTGATGAACTTAAGAACCTTGGTTTGAAATTGAAATGCACTTTGTTAAATTGTGTACTTGTCTTTACAAGATGGCAAATGATAGGGAATAGTATTTTAAACCCCAATACTGTGTTCATAGTTTGTTGCCCTTTTACTTTTTATTATATTTCAAGCATTTTTAATTAAGCATCAACTGTGTTTTGTTTTGTTGTTTTTTAAGCAACTACTTTTAAGGGGCGGAGGAAAGTAGCGTGTATTATGAGGGTTCGGGAAAGCAACTGCTATTTGAGGAATGGAAAGTCCAATGATGTTTAATATTTATTGTCCTATAGAAAATTCCACAAAATCATCAAAATAATTTCTGGAGTTTTTTTAAGTAATATAAAAATTATCAGCTTGAACATAGTCATTAGTAAAAAAAAAATTTTTTTCAGCGAAAAATGACAGAAACACTTCCAGTCACTGGTAGTTTTTTTTAATTACTTTCATTATTATTCTGTATAAAAATCAGGGTACACAAGTAGCAATTTCTATGCTCAAGTTAATAATTCGTAAGTCAATTTCACAATTATTTTTTTATGATTTTTTTCAGGTGACAATACATCTTTTAATAAAAGTAGTGATTATTGAAGGCTGGAAAGGGGAAACAAGAAATGATTGAAGTCCCATTTAAGTGAGGAATGATGTATTATTAAAAGTAGTCACTATTGAATGAATATTTGATACGGAAACATGAAGAAATTAGTGAAAGTATTATTTAAAGTGAGGGGGATAGATGAAAGAATTTAAGATGTTAACTAATGATTTGGTTTTAATAAGCCTACTTAGGATGTGGACATAAAATTAGAACCAGTAGAGTACACGACAATTTAATGTGAAAATAATTATGTTTCGGCTGTTTCCTGAAAATTTAAAAGCATATTAGCTTTTAAATATGATTCTTTCATTCTATAAAAAAAAGCCTAAATCATGTTTACTTAATAACATGATCACACTTGTTGGTCAATTTTTAGTTTACATTGGTATTACCATATTTATTCGAATAAACGCCCCATTCAGAGCCTCAAATGGTTTGGTAATGGTAATGGTTTGGGACTTGTAAAGCACATACTACATGGTCTCTATGCGCTTAAGTTACACGAAGGAAAACAAACCAAAAACTAAATCCTAAAGTCTAAAAAAAAAAAAAAAAGCATGAGAAAACAGACTATCACAGGGGAACCAACATCACCACACCGTTTTCCTGCAATTTGAGACCACAGGCAAGCAGTGGTTTGCAGGATCATGACTCACAGATGCTCAAGTGATGTTGGCGTCTAGACTAGCCTATCCTAGAAAAAATAAACGATGGAAGTAAAACAACAAATGTAAAACAACAAAAATGGAAAATTTAAAAAGTTTGAAAAAGGTACAGTAGGTCTTGAGTCTCTCCTGAAAAATGGATAGAGAAGGAGACTCGGATCTCAATAGGTAGTGCATTCCACAGCTTGGGAGAAGCAGCTTGAAAGGACCTCTCTCCATATTTAGAACGAATTACAGGGGTAGATAAAGTATATGGACATGAGGTGGAATGTAGACTTCGGTAACATGTTGATGACCGGAGATGGATAAGATCGGTCAGGTACGTAGGCGATAAGTTGTGAAAGCATTTAAAGGTGTGAACAAAGATCTTAAATGTAATGCGCTGCCTTACTAGAAGCCAGTGAAGTGTTTTCAATGTAGAGGTGATGTGTTGAGTTTTCGGTATTTGTTTGATGAGACGTGCAGCAGTATTTAATTGAAGTTGAATTCGCTTGATCAATGCATATGGTAGTCCACATAAGATTCCATTACAATAGTCGATTCTAGATGTAACAAGAGAGTGCACAAGTTTCAATGTAGCTTCTTCGTTCAGAAATTCCGATATGCCTGATGTTTCTGATGTGGTAAGAAACAGATTTGCAAATGTTGGTTACATGTTTTTTAAGCATCATTGTAGAGTCAAATGTAACGCCGATGTTACGAACAGAAACAGATGGAACAATAGTGGTATCGCCAACACGAATGCAGAATGCATTCGGTAAGTTTTTTCGATAAAGCGAGTGGATAATTGAAGTTGAATTTGCTTGATCGATGGATATGGTAGTCCACATAAGATTCCATTACAAAAGTCGATTCTATATGTAAAAATAATGGCCCATGCCCCATTTTTCCCCCCTAGAATAAATGCCTCTCTAAATGAATGTAAACAAAACTAATAGAAGCAACGTCAGTCGCAACACATTCTGTTAATGATAATGTTATACTCAATTAGAATTACATTTTTTCCAACTTTGTTGGGAGCAATAAGTCTTTATGATCATGCATTTTGACGGTACGTATCCATTTTAAACCCCAAAAAATAAACGCCTCCCTCGAATAAACCTCCTCAGAAATTGCCTTCTCAACAATAAACGCTCGGGGAATTTATTTTAATCTATATGGTATATTAAAATGGATAAAAAAGAAAGTTCAGTTTCTTTTCTATATTAAAAGAATGTTGTTTGCTTGTATCACTGTTGTGTTATTTTACGACTGTATGCTACATTTGATACTCTGACATTAAAAGTGTTGATACGGGTGCCCCTCTAATTGAAGACCCCCGCCTTTAAAGACCACCTCCAATTTAGGACCACTTTTCTGTGATCCCAAATTAACAAATGTCTTTTATCTTTGTTATTCTGAGAGACCAAAATTGCTAAAGACCATGGAAACCCCGGTCCCAAAAGTGGTCTTTAATTGGAGGGAGACCTGTATTTCACAATCCAGAATTTCCAATCCTTGAACCTAGCGATAGGCATTACAATTTTCAACATGAAACTGAAGCAGTCCACACAGCTCGACCTGCCAACCACACTTACTGCCCAGCCAACCAATCTGCCTACTCAGCCATTCACCTACATACCACACTGCCTGTACGACCAACCACACACACACACACATCATTATTTTATCACGATTGAGAGAAAAAAATGTGGGTCCTGTCTCTTATACACATCTAATATATATTGAGTCAAATCTCTCAATAGATGATAAACCATATATATGTACTGTATATATATATATAGTGTATATATATTATCAAAGATACTAGAGCAGTGTATATATTTCTTTGATGATTAATATTATGATATTAACAATTCATTGCAGATAGGCCTACAATAAAATATTCTTGATTCTATTGTAGCAGTACGGTACCTAAACATAAAACCACTGATAGTACTGAACATTAGTGAAAAGTCTGAAATAGTTTGTTGCAAAGATGTAGGGGAACTGAATCCACATAAAACTGAGGAGACATGCCCTCACACCACAAAAATAGCCTACGTAAGTGCCCATCAAGGACAAACTTCTGCCTCTGTGTGTATGTTCTATTCATATAGTGGGTGTATTGATTCCTTGTATTTCTGTATATGCCTACATTCTTTAATAATAATGGGTTCAATAATATTGGATCCAGATGAATTTTTTCAATAATAATAATAACAATAACAACAACAACAATAATAATAGTAATAATAATAAAAGAAGTTCTTAACCGTTCTTAAGTCATGAGAACAAGTGGTTGTTATTTGACTATCGAAATAGTTGACTAGCTTCAATTGTATAAAACAAAAAGAGAACCCTAGAGTGAAATAAAACAATGTTAGGCCTAATAAAATTTATTTAATTATACTTATGCAAATATAATGCAAATAAAAAAAGCAAGAAAATTTACCGTGTCTGCCTTTAACTTTCCTTTCTTGTGCTTCCTTATCTTTCCTTTTCTACCTACCTACCTTCCTTTCTTTTTCTTCTTTTTACTTTTCCTTATAATTTGTGTTTCTTTTCCGCTTTCTTTCTTATACTTCCTTATCTTTATTTCTTTTGCTTTCCATTAGGCCTATCATTCTGATGTTTCCTTACCTTTAACCGTGGTAACTTTGACTATTCTTTCCTCCTCTTTCTTTCTATACTTTCCATTTCATTTTTTTAAATATTATTTTGCTTTTCCTTAACTTGTCTTTCTTTTCTTAGCCAGTCTATGACTACTTAACCAAACAAAATTGTCTTGTTCTCAACTTTTCGTATACATCTCACTTGGGTCGTCCATCGCAGACGTGATGATGTAGCAGCGCCGCAGCAAGTGAATACAGAAGTAAAATAATAAAACTACAAATAATCTGCTCCAAATTTTATTTGTCACATTTTATTTAAAAGTGGTTTATTTACAGTACTGGACATTTATTATAGTTTATTTAGGCCTATTTGTCATACGAAACACTCCTAAAACATGAACGTGATTCTCAATAATGTTTGGTGTGAGGCCAACCGCAAAAACCTGTGTTGTGTCGCACCACTGATGAGTCAATTGCGTTACACGAATTTGCTGACCAGTATCGATGACGAAATAATAATTCTAATAAATATTATTTAAAAGAGAACTAGAAAAATGATTTTTTGTTCTAGAGAGGTTTTTTTGATATGCTATTAATAATAGAATCATTGGTATAACGGTGGTTAAAAAATGAGAAGGTAAAGTACAAGTCTTGTTACATTTTCTTCTTGTGATATGTATCTTGGTTTTTTTTATATGCTGCTTGTTTGGCACTGCCCAGCATCTATTTAGGTGGAGATGTTTGCGCTTTACAAATCTCTATTATTATTATTATTATTATTATTATTTTTATTAATATTATTATTATTATTATTATTATTGTTGTCGTTGTCGTCGTCGTCGTCGCCGCCGTCGCCGTCGCCGTCGCCGCCGCCGCCGTCGCCGTCGCCGTTGCCGTTGTTGTTGTTGTTATTTGCAAGTACACGTCGACTTTTAAAATCAATCAAGAGATTTTTGCTTTTCCCCCCTTTTTAACTTTAACTTTTGTATTAGTAATATTGTGACTACACTATTGTGAGTGGAAATAATATCAGTCTATTATCAAATAAAGTGAAATCACCTCGACCTGACAAAATAACGTAAAATTATCAGCCATACATATTGACAAATCTAAAAAGCTCAAAAAAAATACGAAATGGTTCTTGCAACATTATCGTTCAAGAGCGAGAATCGCCTAGCAAAAGTGTTTCACGCTGACATAATCATTAGCTAATTTTATGTCATTTTTTTTGTCTTTCCACAGTCGTATCTGGCAAATACTTTTTGCCAGATTTTTGTATTCCCTTC